CCTCCTGCAGGATTGCAAATCCCCCTTTTTTCACCAGTTCATCCAGAGATCCCCCCCAAGGCAGAGATTTCCAGCGAACTCCCAATTTCTGTGGTTCAGCTCATCCTATTTGGGGTGAATTTGGGGGTCGGGAGGAAGTTTAGGGTCGTTTGGGATCCTGGGGTAAAAAATACGGAGGTTTTGAGGGAAATATTTGAGGTGAGAGACATTAAGGAGTGGGAAACTCTAAGTAATCCTGTCCCAAAATCCCTGGGCAAAGCTGTGGGATGATGGGGAGAAGGATGAGTGGAAGCCAGCAGGGGAATTCTGAGATGATGGCAGGAAGGATGAGTGGAAGGAATACAGATGCAGGCTGGGAATCGAGGAATGTGGCCATCCCTGTATAAAATACCACAAAATTCCCTTTCAGGAGCATTATGATCCTTGTTTCCAAGGGGTATCCCACATTTTTCCTTGCCATGGAGCCTGTTTTTGTCAGGTTAGAGTCTCCTGCCCTCAGCAACCAAATCCTTACAGTCTCTGGATGGGGATGCACAAGAGCTTAACACACCTTTTCCCACTGGATTCCCGTAGAGAATGTGAATCCTCGAAGGGGAATAACACAAATTTCTGCTGGAAAAATCCGACTCCCTGCAGCCAGGCTGGGGAGGGCACTTATTTCCTCCTGCTTCCCACGGGAACACATCACCCACCAACCTCCTGACTGGGGGGAAAAGGGTTTTCCATCCCCAGTGAATTCCTGGAGCCCACAGGAGGGTGAAGGAACCTCCTCCCAAAAACCCAGCCTGGCTGGATTTGCTTTTCACCCTCTCCATCCATTTTCTAGGAAAAACCTCAACATTTTGGTCATGGGGAGGAATCAGACACCTGGGTATGAACCTGGATGTGCCCCAGTTGCTCCCCATGGATGGGAATGGTCCCCAGTTGCTCCAAAGAGATTAAAATCAACCTAAAATCCATGGAAATTGCTGTATTTTAGTACAATCTCGAGTATCCTAAAACAACAGGAATTAACCCAGCTTGGAAAAAGGTCTTTTTTTTTTTTTTTTTAAGCAAAATCCTCCTGGTTTCAAACTTGGGAATAAGAAAGTTGGGAAATAAAGTGCCCCCAAAAAAGTAGGTAATTAAATTTCAACGTGTGAGCAGAGGAAAAAATGGGAATATTGCCCTTTTCCCCCACAAAGCAGATGACCCCAAGTCGTGTGGGCCCTGGAAGAAGAGGATGTCCCTTTAGGCTGAGCCTGCTTAACCACTTAAGCCCTCTAAGCCCCACCACCCAGACTAAAGCCCTGTTGTCAAGTCCTCCTTCATTTCCATAAGCTTCATTATTATGATTATTAAATATTCCTGTTAATTTTAGAGCTGGGCTCCCTGCCTGGAGGGTTTCAGGCTCTTTAAGCCTAAGTGCTGTTCTGGGAAGGAGGATGAAATGGGTACAGTGCTGTAACACCCCCCTCAGCCTTTGCTCCACAGCCCAAACCCTAAACTTCCTCCAGACCCCCAAATTCACCCCAAATAGGATGAGCTGAACCACAGAAATTGGGAGTTTGCTGGAAATCTCTGCCTTGGGGGGGATCTCTGGATGAACTGGGGAAAAAAGGGGGATTTGCAATCCTGCAGGAGGTGTTGGAGCTTTGCACAGCCTCAGTTTGGGTGTAGCTAATCCCAACTCTTCCCAAATTGCCTCCTTGGGTGCTTAAGGGCAGATCCTTCCTTCTCCCCCCTTCCAGAGATGGAATCCCCCCAGTGATTCATTTTGGGGTTTCAGGGCTGTGCCACCCTCGAAACAGTGGGAACCCCAAAAGAGAAAGGGAAGCTTTGACATAATGAGCTTTTTTTTTTTAAGCTTTTTTCTCCTTATCCTCCCACATTTTAAGGGATAAATCCATCTTTCCACACCTTCCCAGCAGGGTCGGCCTCTGCTCAGCGACCTGAGCCAAGAGCCCCTCATTAAACCAACACCAGCAGGGCTTGGCAGCCAAAATTCAGGGAATTTGTTCACCTGGAGGAGCCTGGGAAAGCACCCAGCAATCCCCGCTGGGTTTTTGCACCTGGAAGTTTGATCCAAGACCTGAAAATCCCGGGAGGCGGCAGGTGCTTCCTTGGGGGGATATATTGGACAGTGGCATCTATTTGGCCACACAGCCAAAATTCATGGGATTCATTCATCTGGAGAACTCTGGGAAAGCATCCACATCTCCCTGCTTGGTTTTTTTTCACCTGGAAATCTGATCCAGCACCTAAAAATTCCGGGAAGAAGCAGGTGTTTGCTTGGGAGGATATATTGGACAGTGGCATTTAAGGTTTGGCACCTCTGGGAGCTCAAGAGTAAAATTGCTGCAGTGGCCAAAACTCCCCCAAACCCCCCAAAATCAGCAGCTGTTTGTTGAAGACACAGCTCGAGGGGTGCCCAGAGAAGATCCAGATCTCCCTGAACTAATTTTTAGGATGGGAAAACACTTCCAGCTGCAATTCCTGCAATTCCCCACTGTGATTTAAGCCACAGTGGATCCAAATGGAGCCCAAAGCCACAGAATCAGATCAGCATCAACACTGGGAATATTTAGGTTACATAGGATATAAATGGGATATTTGGGATAATTCTACACACGCAAGACCTCATGTTTCCTTGGGAAATGGGACAGGACAGACCAGCTGGAATGATTTAAACCTCCTTTAGTCCTGGGTCTGCAGAGCCCTTCACACCCCAGCTTTGATCCAGCAGGAAAACCTGACCCGGAGATGCTTTTCCAAACTGAAATTCCCACTCTGGCTTAAGGTAGAATAAAAAAAAAAAGGGGGGGATAAAATTAGGGATGGGGGAATGTGGTGCTGCTTGGGGTTTGCAGGACTAAGCCTGATTTAGGGCTCCAGCACATTAACCATCGGCTCTCATGGTCCCTTTGGATCCACAACAGCCTTTCCCTGGCTTTTCATGGATCAGAAGGGTCACCGCCTCCCAAAAAAAAGAGGAGACTGGGGTGCACATCCCATGGGATTAGATGCTCTTTTCTTTTTCAAGAAACCTGTAAATCTGGGAGACCTTTTATCCCTCCAAATATCACCTTTTCCACTTCCCCTCTGCTGGGGAGCAACGGGAGCTGAGAATTCCCCCAGTTAATTTTAGGGATGAGCTTTCGAGCTCCGTGCCCTGAGTTCACCTGCAAGCTCCCAGGCTGCTTTCACAAGAGAAAAAGTTGATTTTACAAGGGAAAAACAAAGCTAAAAAACCCCCCTGGAGCTTTTTTCCCCCTCCTGCTCCCCCGACGGCGGCTGCCATGAAATGCTGGGAAAAATCCTACCTGGAGTTGTTTCCATTTTTTCCCCCATTTCTTCCCGGCCAAACCAAACCTTCGCTGCTCGGTACCAAAAACCACCAAACCCCCGAACTTCCTCCTTTATCCACTCAGGCTTGTTAAACTCCCAAGGCTTAAGGAGCAGATTACAGAGAATATAAAGCACTTTCCTTTCCCTTTGGCTCCCATGACGGGAAGTTACCAAATCAAACGAGATGCGAGTGGGAGAGGTGAGATCTCTGGGAGGCAGTGGGATGGAGAGAGGGAGAAAGGGGAGGGCGAAACGCTGGGAGGGCAGAAATCACACCTTTGGGGTTATTTCCTGCAGGGTTTTTCTTTCCCACCTGGAAGGAGGAGGGAAAATCCCCTGGGAGCTCAGTGCAGAAATTTTTTTCAGGGAAAAATAGCCTAAATAAGGAGGATTTCTGAGATTTTTGGGGTGATTTTCTTCCATAAAATGACTTTTCTCCCTCCAAACCAGCCCAGGGTTTTACCCCAGTGGCATTTACTGCCTGTGGAAAGGAGGAAGCTCCACGAAAGCCATGAAGGAGCTGCGAGCGGAGCCCGCCGCAAATAAAAACCTCTTCCCACGCCACAGAAAAACTCTGGAAAACTTTTCCTTCCGTAGAGAAAAGTGGAGCCCGCTCAGGTGAGCTGGACCTAAACCCGAAGGCATGTTTCTATAGGAGGGGGGTGGCAAAAACCCACCCCGAGGGCTCGGCAGCTGTTTTGCCGTTCGAAATGTTAATCTGGGCTTTAATCCTAAAGGAGATTTAACGAGACCAGGCAAAGCCGCGGGCAAAAGCCTGTCGGGAACAAGGTGTGATGCCCGAGGTTTGTCTGCACTCCCTGGACGCAACTTCCCAAGGGACGGGACAACCCCACTTCACCCCAATTCCCCCTCTGTGACACGCAGGGAAAAATAAACCCGGGGAGGGCGGCGCGTCGGGGGTGATTTAATCCCGGGTTCAGCGATGCTCCGGAGGCTCTCCCGGTTTTTTTTGGGAGCACTCACTGGTCCTGCTGGCGTTGTCATTGCCGCTCTCGTAGCAGCCGTGGCCGCCGTCGTCGGTGTCCGAGTGGTCCTGGCGCTCGAAGTGCCGCTCGCTCTCGCTCCGGTCCCGGCTGGAGCCCGGAGATCTCCGGCGGCGCCGCTTCCTGCGGTACCCCCGCGGCACCGGCACCCCGATGTAGATGGAGTGGTAATCTAGGGAGGGGGGAGAGCTGGAAAAGCGGCTCTGGGATGTCTTAAAACGACAGCAAAACACCACCACCACCACCAATAAAAAAATTACTTTCTAGTTAAAGCTTCCACTTTGAAAACTCCCAGTTAAAAAAAAGCCAGGGAGGTGTTTCCCAGCTTCCCATCAGGGCTAAAGCACGCAGGAGTTTGTTCCGTGGGATGTGCTGGATCTAGAGAGTGAAGAAAAAACTTTAAAAGCTTGCAGTTGAAAAAATCCAGAGAGGAGGAGGGGGGAAAAAACAGAACTGGGATTTCTCATTTCCGGTTACAAAAAAGAGAAAAGTTCGCTTTCCACAGTAAAAAAACTTCCAGTTTACAAAGCCAGGGAGATGTTTCCCATCTTCCCACCAGGCTTAAAGCACACAGGAGTTTTATTCCATGTTGTGCATGGGATGTGCCAGATCTAGAGAGGGAGAAAACTTGAAAAAGCAGGTGTGGAATGTTTCACTTCCAGGTAAAAAAGTTCACTTTCCAGTTAAAAAAAAAAGGAAAAGTTCTCTTTCCAGTTAAAAAACTTCCAATTTAAAAAGCCAAGGAGATGTTTCCCATCTTCCCACCAGGATTAAAGCACACAGTTCATTCCATGGGATGCGCCAGAGAATGAAGAAAAAGTTTTTAAAAGCTTCCAGTTTAAAAAAAAAGTTCACTCTCCAGTAAAAAAAAATGTTCATTTCCAGTTAAAAAAATTCCATTATAAAAAGCTAGGGAGATGGTTCCCATCTTCCTGCCAGGATTAAAGCACACAGGCTTTAATGCACACATGTTGTGCATGGGATGTGCTGGATTGAGAGCACATCTGGGAAAAAAAAAATAGCAGATCTGGGATTTCTCACTTCCCATTAAAAAAGAAAAGTTCACTTTCTGGTTAAAACTTCCAGTTAAAAAACTTCCGGTTAAAAAAGCCAGGGAGATGTTTTCCATCTTCCCAGCGGGCTTAGGGCACACAGGAATTTATTCCATGGGATGTGCTGGATCTAGAGAGGGAACAGGTTTAAAAAGCAGACCTGGGATTTCTCATTTCCAGTTTAAAAAAAGGAAAAAGTTCACTTTCCAGTTAAAAACTTCCAGTTAAAAAAACCCGGGGAGATGTTTCCCATCTTCCCATCAGGCCTAAAGTTTATTCCATGGGATGATCCAGAGGGATCTAGGGAAGGGGAAAAGCTTTAAAAAGCAGAGCTGGGATGTCTCACTTCCAGTTACAAAAAAAGTTCCAGTATAAAAAGTCAGGAAGGTGTTTCCCATCTTCCCACCAGGTTTAAGGCTCTCAGGAATTTATTCCATGGGATGTCCCGGTGGAGCACCGGGAGATCCGATGAATCAGCCGGCAGGGAAGCCCCCGCTGCCTTTGGGGGCATTCCCGAGGTTTCACTCACCTTCCTCATCCTCGTATCTCCTCCTGGAGCTGCTGAGCCCCCTCTCGCTCATCCCGTCCTCATCCTCCAGCATGTTCCCGCTGCTCCGGGAGAGCTGAGCCCGGCAAGGAGAAAGGAGAGAGGTTTTCAGGGATGCTGGGCAGGGAAGAGCCTCTTTGCACACCTGGCAGGTGCTCCCCACTCCGGGAATCCACGTGTGGAATGACAGGATCCTTCCCGGCCGGGAGAGCCGGGACTTCCCTGTGGAAGCACAGGGGATCCTCTGGAATGTCCTCCCTCGGTGAGCTCAGCCCTGCCTGTGCCAGTCCTGCCCGTGCCAGCCCTGCCTGTGCTCCACCTCCACTCTCCCCATGTCTAAGAAAACCGGGATAAATTTTGTCTCCAGGCTCCAATTTCTGCTGCTCAAAGCAGAGGGGGAGTGAAGTGCAAGGAATTTTTATGGAGATTTGCTGCCACAATTGTGGACACGAGCTCAGTTCACAGGGGGTTATTTGCTGGCAATAAACATTCATTTAATTTTTTTTGGGGGGGACCTGCCCAGATAAAAGGGATTTTTCACAGCTAAAAGGGGTTTTGCAGACGCAGACTTTGCTTCCTCATCTCCTGGGCACAGATTTTACACCCTACACTTCCAGATCCCTTCCTTCCGACCTGCCGCTTTATCCCCCCAAAGAGTTCCTTCGCATTTTGTCCCGGCTGTTAATTACTCCCCTAATTATCTGACCTCCAGTGATTGCCTTTCACACTTGACTGGGGCGGCAGAACGGTTACTATTCCTGGCAGCCCGGTCGATGCCTCCCAAAGTCACTTTGAGAGTGATCAGAACCAGCCTCTCCGTGTGCCCCGTTCCAGCTCCTGGAATCCATGGCAAAATCGCACCATTATCCATCTATTTCAGGGAAAAAAAACCCCAACTCAAGCCAAAGAGGTTCAAAGCATCAAGCAAACAGGGTGTGCCCCTAAAAAGCTGGAAGGACCCCGGGGTGCCCAGGTTGGCTCTGCTTTTGTTCCTGATTTATCGACCCATTTTCCCCCAGGCAAAGACCATCTTTATCCCAATAAACGTTCCAGCCTTAACACAGTTGATATTTAAAGGCACCTCTTGATTTAAAAGATTTGGGATTTATTTTTTTTCCTGACACTTTTTTTTAAGGAACCAGTTTATTTTGGGGACAAACTCCTTTGGATGGGCAACTGTGCCCCAAATCTGAGTGTATCAACAGCAGCCATGAGCCTTGACTTCCTGAAAATAACATTATTGGGATAATTCTGAGGGTTTTAGGAAGCTGGTGGTGGCAGGAAAAGCAGCAAAATACCCTCCCCTGCCCCCCAGCTTCAGGCAGAAATATTTTTGCTCCAAAAATGACTTTCCAAGAGACAAAGTTTCACAACCCCCCAAGATTCCTTCAGTGGCAGGTTGGGGATGATGGATGGGGCTAAAGGACCCTCCAAATGGGATAATATTGGAATGAAATAGGACTTTTTTTGCAGTCTAGTTTGGCTGGTCAGAGTTTTACCCCATCTCTGCTGGGCAGCAAAAATAACCCACTGGATAAACCCTTTGATAGATCCACCAAGAAATGAAATATCCTGGTTAATTATGGTTGATTTATGAGAGCAATAAAACCAGGGTTTTTTTCCCTGGTTTATATTTTACACATAAAGCTTCCCCCACCCCACCCAACTCCCTACATCCAAACACAAGCATAACACAGAATAGAACTATTGGAAAACCTGACTCTAAGTGGAGCTGAAACAAGAGGAGGGAAAGAAAAGCGCTGTCACCTCTCCCAGTTAAACCCAAGCTCTACCCCCCCAAGCTCCCAGTTCCACAAAACCAAGTTTCACCCTTAAGAAACTCACCTTGAGCTCTCAAAGGAGATGTTCAGAGGGAGGATGGGGCTGCAGAGGAAAGTCAGGGGTGCTGGTGGGAGTGGGAGCCCAGATTGCCTTGGGATGAAGCTGCTCTTCCCACCATCCTATCGACGCCCAACTGGAAACACTCCGCAGCTCCCGGGTCAAAATGTATTTTGGGCAACACTGATCGACTTTTGGGAACAGAGAAGCATCATGGGATGCAAAGAGACCTCGGGAGAGGATGGAACATCAAACCAGCAGAGATCCTGCCCTGCACAGGGCTGGACTCGGGCTGTCACACCACCGGGACATGGAAAATCCAAGCTGTCCCTCCCCAGCCTGCAGGATTTGTGTCTTCTGGGGCTGTCGGGGGCTTTTTGTCCGTCAATTTTGGCTCAGTTCTGAGGGATTTTGGAAGGGAACTGCTTTTATGTCTTTTCTCTGTGCAATTCCACGATTTTAAGGAGGAAATGCCTCAGGGAAGTGCAGAGGGGCATCACCATCACTGAGATGCTCCTAAAAGCCCTGGGAACAGCAGGACCAGCCCCTGGGGCACCAAAAGCAGTTTGGGGGAGAGTTTATCACACGGAATTCGTTTGCAATTCCATGTTTTGCTTTCAATGTGCTGATCATGTGTAAATTCAATGCCACAAACAGCAAACTCTGGGCCACAGGAGCGCTCCCAGCTCAGCTTCCTGAGCTCTGCTCCCATTCCACGCTTGGCTTCCTCACCTCCCTTTGGCCTTTTAACAGGGATGTCAATAAATCCACATGGAACAGCTCCTGGCTCCTCAGCAGAGCTGGGCTCGTTGTCAGGCAAGAAAAAAGGACTGGGAAAATCAGATTTTGAGCTTGAAATCATCTGAACTCGGGCCTTTTCTCTCACCTCCAGGGGGTTATTCTGTGGCATGATCCAGAGTCTTGGAAAAAGCAAAGCAAAGCCTGTTTGGTGCTTTATTCCTGCTCCTGTTTTCTTCCCAGCTCCTGTTTTGTTTGATTTGCTCTTCCATGTGGAGCAGGGTCAGGCCTAGAGCAAGGTCAGGTCTGGAGAAAGGTCAGGTCTGGGGCACAGTCGGGTCTGGAGCAAGGTCAGGCCTGGAGAAAGGTCAGGTCTGAGGCAAGGACACGTCTGGAGCAAGTTTAGGTCTGAGGCAAGGACAGGTCTGGAGCAAGTTTAGGTCTGGAGTAAGGACAGGTCTGGAGCAGGGTCAGGTCTGAGGCAAGGACAGGTCTGGAGCAAGTTTAGGTCTGGAGTAAGGACAGGTCTGGAGCAGGGTCAGGTTTGGAGAAAGGTCAGGTCTGGAGCAATGTCAGGACTAGGATCGAGGTCAGGTCTGGAGCAAGGACAGGTTTAGAGCAAGGTCAGGCCTAGGACCAAGGCCAGGTCTGGACCAAGGTCAAGTCTGGAGCAAGGACAGGTTTAGAGCAAGGCCTGGTCTAGACCAAAGCCAGGTCTGGACCGAGGCAGCAGAGCCTACAAGATTTCATGGGAATTCAGGAATGTCATTGGCATCCCTTTTATTTGGAGTAATGAGCATGTTGGGATGTTGAGAAAACCTTTTCCAAAGCGAATTTTCATTTTCCTGCTCTTGCTTAAATCCACCTTTCCCACTTCCCAGGCACTCACAGCCCAATTGTCCGTGGGAATCATGGATCTGAGTGTCCCAGCTGATGGAGAATCGGCTTCTCCCCATCACTCACTGTGCCCCAAACCCAGGATTAATCCTGGGATGAGACCTGAGACCATCCCGTGCTGGGCTCCAGGAAAAGGGAATCCAGGTGTTGATGCTTCTTGTCCTGTGAATAAAGGGAAAATAAAGGGAATTCACTTTTTTCCCCTTCAATTCCATGGAAATCTACTGGAATTTATTTGAATTTCTCAGCTCGGATTTCTTAAGGTTTTATTAAACCCCTCATGGAGAGAGGGAGGAGAAGGAAGAAAAGCAAAATTCCATGAGCAGGAGGCCTGTTATTCCTTAAATAAGCAGGCTCATCCCGCTCTCCTGGGCTGCAGGTTTTACCTTCTCCACTTGCAAAAACACCCCAGTTTTGGTCATAGCCTTATTATTATTATTATTATTATTATTATTATTATTATTATTATTATTATTATTATTATTATTATTATTATCAATAGAAGATTGTTATAATAATGCTAAATTCTTATACTACAAATAAATTATTATAATAAAAATTATAATGATAATAATAATAATAGTGGTGATGATTATGATGATAATGATGATATAATAATTATTATAATAGTGATTATGAGTATGATGATAATAATGAGGATTATAACAATAACAGATGATTGTAATAATGCTAAGTTCTTATGTTATTAATAAATTATGATCAAAAGAACAATAATAATGGTGATGATAATAATAATATAGATGATTATGATGATAAAAATAAAAATATTCTAATAAATTATAAATTATTATAATAGCAATAATAATAATTATTATAATAATTGTGATTATTATATTAATATTAATGTTGATTGTGTAAAATAATTAAGATATTAATAAATTATGATAATAATAATGATAATAAAAATAGTGATTATGAGTATTATAATAATAATGAGGATAATAATAACAGATTATTATATTAGTGGTAAATTCTCATATTGCCAATAAACGATTATAATAAGAACAATAATAATGATGATGATAATTATAATAATGATGATGGTTACGATGATAACAATTATGAGAATAATAAAAATTATTCTAACAAATTATTATAAATTATAATAAGAACAATAATAATGATGATGATAATTATAATAATGATGATGGTTACGATGATAACAATTATGAGAATAATAAAAATTATTCTAACAAATTATTATAAATTATAATAAGAACAATAATAATGATGATGATAATTATAATTATGATGATAACAATTATGAGAATAATAAAATTATTCTAATAAATTATTATAAATTATAATAAGAAAATAATAATAATGATTATCATAA